CGGGCTCAGGCAATTCGCTCACCTCAGCCTCCCAAAGGCACGGGATTATAGGCTGAGCCACCGAGCCCGGCTAATAGTAATATTTTTAAAAGGAAAGGTAATACAGTACATACACCATATACAGCCCCATTTAAGAAGTCTGAGGCTGCACTGCGTACCCAAATACATTACTATTTCTACAAAAAGTTTTTGAATATACAAACTAAGTAGGATTTTAAAAACAACTATTAAAAAACTCATATCAGTTCACATCAAGTTTTGCCACCAAATTAAATATTTTAAAACTTACAGTTTTCAGAATATTTTCTGATCCCAGTATTGCACATATGGGGATCTTGTAATAAACCTGTATTACAAGTAGTATACTATTTACATTACAAAACGTGTAGAATTTTCACATGTGTTCAGCTGTTTTCCCCCTTACTATGGAATATGCATTCAAATTGTTTAGAATAGCACTGTAGTCAATTGAAATTTTTTTTTTTTGAGTTGGAGTCTCACTCTGTCGCCCAGACTGGAGTACAGTGGCCGCTCCTGGACACCGCAACCTCGACCTGCTGGGTTCCGGCGATCCTTCCACCTCAGCCTTCCAAATAGCTGAACTATAGGCGCGCGCTACCACGCCCAGATAATTTTTGATTTATTGTAGAGATGAGGTCTCACTGCCCAGGTGGGTCTCGAACCCGTGGACTCAGGCAATCCACTCACCTCAGCCTCCCAAAGGCATGGGATTACAGGCTGAGCCACCGAGCCCGGCTGTCAATTGAAATTTGAAAAAGAGTTTAATGATTTTAAACAATCAAACTAAATGCTGGGAATAATAAACACTAAATTCAATGGTTCATTTCTGATGGAAAAATAGAGGGATAGAATTAGGAAGAGACAAAGGGTTTCAAGTATACTAGTAATGTTTTATTTATTTGTATTTGTTTAGAGACAGGATCTCATTCTGTCACCCAGGCTACAGTGCAGAGGTGCAATAATGGCTCAATGCAGCCTCGAGCTTCTGAAGTCAAGTCATCCTCCTAACTCAGTCTCCTAAGTAGCTGGGATTTTTTTTTTTATTTAAAATAATTTTTTTATTTTTTATAGAGACAGGATCTTACTACATTGCTCAGGCTGAAAGTTAAATATATATATATATATGGGGGTTGGTTTTTTTTTGAGTTGGAGTCTTACTCTGTCGCCAAGGCTGGAGTGCAGTGGCACGCTCACAGCCACCCCAGCGTCGACCTGCTGGGCTCAGGTGATCCTTCTGCCTCTGCCTTCCAAGTAGTCGGAACTATAGGCACACGCTACCACACCCAGCTAATTTTTAAATTTATTTTAGAGATGAGGTCTCACCAAGTTCCCCAGGCTGGCTGTGAACCCCTGGGCTCAGGCAATCCACTCGTCTCGGCTTCCCAAAGTGCTGGGATTACAGTTTTGAGCCACCACGCCAGGCCAGTTTTATATTTTTTAACTAGGTAAATGGTATCTAGGTATTTGATACATTAGTTAAGAAATTCAAAAAGATATTAAAAAATTCCATAGCAATGGTAATCAACCTAAATTACTTAGTGAACATTTGCAGTAGATACAAGAATTTCTGACCTAGAAGGGACTCAGCCTAAGTGCACATTATAGCACTCCTGCATCATCTCAACATGCCATCAGAAATCCCTCAAAAGGATCTTCCCTAGACAGCAGCAGTAATTAAGAAGTCAAGTTCCAGGGCCTCAGGAAGAACTTATAATTTGAATGCACAATCTGTACTTAGCCTGTGTGACATTTACTATCATTTATGTATAGCTTTAGACTGGCAAGACCAAAACAGACTGACTAAAAACTAACCCTTAGCCAAACAACTGAGATCCATTCAGTGTTTTTCTTTCAATAGACATAACTGACTCTATTTTATTTATTTATTTATTTATGTATTTATTTGAGTCGGAGTCTCACTGTGTTGCCCAGGCTGGAATACAGTGGCACAATCTTGGCTACTTATAACCTCGACCTGCTAGTTCAGGCAATCCTTTCACCTAGGACTTCCAAGTAGCTGGGAGTACAGACATGTGCCACCATACCCAGCTAATTTTTTTATTTATTGTAGAGATGAAGTCCACCATGCTGCCCAGGTTGGTCGCAAACTCCTGGGCTCAGGCAATCCTCTCACTTCAGCCTCCCAAAGTCCTAGGATTATAGGCATGAGCCACCACAGTCAGCCAAAACTAACTATTCTAACTACCTCAGAGATCGCCAAGAATGTGATCAGGCAGAAAGAATGTGGACAGACTACAATTCAACAGAAAAACACCTAAATTTTTAGAAGGAAGGCTATTTCAACAGCACTATCTGTTTCTAAGTACATACCAGTTTTGTTCCCTTAGAGGAACCTTGAGAATATTTTATATTTTTTCAAAGGCAGAAGTCTTTATAGTATTCTATACTTTCCAATGAGTTTTCACATGCAGTGTCTCCTTGAATTCTCAAGACAACCTTATAAAGTAGTTAGGCAAATTCATTCTCACTTTTTATGGAAAAAAGAAATGTACTTATGGTCAAATAATTGGCCTAGGATCCCAAATCCAAACAGAGGTATTAAGTGGGACCAGAACCTAAGTTCTTTATTTTTCTTTGGTAGATTCAAATATATCTTACTATAGTAAACTACATTCTAAACAGGTTGGTTCTCTAGTCAATCAAGAATAAAGTTAAAAAAAAAAGGTTCCTCCATGTTTTTTTTACTAAAAAGTTTAAAAATTAAGACTCCAAGTCAGTGGTTACAAACACTTTCATCAAACAACATTCCAGGGGATGTGTTTTCTATGAAAGATTGTATGTACAAAATAATCCAAAATCTTTCCTCTCCATTTCAGTTATTTCAATCTCCTTACACAACCTAAAATACAGGAGAATTTTCTACATTGGTTGAGAAAGAGAAAGTAGTTTGATTTTTGTTTAGCCTAATTGAAAAATGATCAGGTTTGAATGAAAGAGTCTACACTTGACATCCAACAAGAATAAATAGAAAATGGTGCCTACTATATACCAAGAACTAAATAATTTGACCAAAACACACGATCTCATTCTCACCAGGAACATTCGGTCTCATTGATACATAAAACAGAAAAGACATCATAAGTACATGATCTTCATTTTTCAGAAGTATAAAACACAAAGCTTTACAGGAGTATGAGAGAGGGACTCTGTTTCATATTTTAGACACTTCATGTCTAGAATACTGAATGAAGGGGAGAAAAAGGAAAGCCATGGGACATCTGTAAGAACAGTAGGCTGGGCAGAATAGCCAATAGAATGGAAGGGAATGAACATCCATGTAACGATTATGTGCAAGGAGCTGTGCTAAGTGCTCTAAATATGTCACCTCCTATAATCGTCATTAAAAAAAACCCCACCAAGTATAAGCAGAACTGAAATTAAAATATCCAAAAGGGAAAACCCTATATTCCAAGATCTTTCAGAAAGACCACATACCTGTAACCGGTGAACCACTCCTGATCGTAAGTTTCCAAATCCATAGTGGCACTGTGGATTCAAAGCACTTTCTGACACCTCTTCATAAGGTGTCTGTTCAATTTCCCAATCAAACTCCTCATCGTCATCTTCTGCTACTTCCTCAGAAACCTCAGAAGCACCTAAATGTATTAAGTATTCATTTTTTTTTAAAGTACAGGACTTCCTAGATACAACTAGGGGAAGAAAAAGCATAGAAAAAAATGCCCATATATGTGCACCAAAAACCACATACAATATTCATCGCTCTCCAACTCATGATAGCCCCCAAAAATGGAACGAATCCAACTGCCCATCAATAGTAGGAGGTATAAATGTGGTATATTCATACAATAGGATATTACATAGCAATAAAGGCAAACAAATCTCAGCTACAATATGGACAAATCTCACAAAAATAACATTAAGTGAAAAAAACAGACAAAAAATAATTTACTGTACAAATTATATATGCAACTAAAAAACAGGCCAAATGAAGGACATCGGTTACCTTGATGAGGAGGGAGGGCAAAGTAACTGGGAAGAGACACAGGATGGGATTCCAGGGTGCTGGAAATGCTCCATTTCTTGACCTAGTATTTGCTTTATGTCATTCACTGAATTGAACATCTCTGATCTTAGCTCAAGCTCCTAATATCTTGCCAAAGACAAAATGCTGCTTTGATTGGTTCCAAAATGTGACTGATCTACTGGTTCAATAGGGTTTTTAATGCCTTTTCATTATATCTCCAAATAAGCTGCTTTCACATGTCTTCTCAAGACAGCCTTCTCACCCAAAGTATTTTCTTCAATTTCCTATTCACTGTTTCCCATTTACCCCAGAAACACATAGTATTCCAAATATTTCTATTTATCTTTACTTCCTCCCAATTGCAACAAACATACCTATTTCTTCCACAAGTGGTTTTGCTGTCCTGGATTTTCTCGGTGCCAGAAGAGCAGTTAACATGTTTAGCCCCTCAAAATGTTGGCCGGGAGTTTCTTTGGGTAATCGAATGGTAAAAATTCCTTAAAGACAAATTTGTTTAATGTTAAGATTAAAATATTCAAAGACCTCATAAATGTATCTAAGAAATATACATCTTGGTAAAACAAAATTATACTTCATAGGGCTCCAAAATATGCCCTTATTATAGATTTAGTAAATATGAGTCAAGATAGAAAAAGATTCAAACAGGCTTTTCAGAAGCTGTTACTTCTATTAAAAAAATTAGTCTGTTAAAGTTACAGATATCACTGTCACACATTGGTAATATTAAAAATCCAAGTTGAAACTTCCAAAAAAAAAAATATAATGGCTTGAGAAAGTAACAGTTTAGAATTAACCAATAGTTACTAATAAAATATATTTCTAGACAAAGGAAGAAAAATTATAATACTTAATCCAATGGAGAAGGGCAGTAGTTTTAAAATACACAAAATCTTAAATAAAGCCATCATGGTGTGACAAGCTTTCTTTGATATGTCAAGAGGTACAACTCTAAAGTCTGTCTACAGCAGATTCAAATTCTATGTACTTCTTTTCTTTCCGTGACTGGGTTCTCAACCTTATCTAGGCTCCCCTGGGAATATACTACATTATTTACTACTCTTACATTTTATAATAAAATGCTTTTCTCTTTCAGTGCACTGAACCATATTCCAATGATACAACACAACCCAAATATTCAAAATACAACACAACCCAAATAGTCCCACATACAAACCTTCCTTAACTCCTATATACTTTTAAAATTTAAGAATTTTTTTCACTATGCAACCTACCTGCAACTAAGTGCAGATTTCCTATCTAGAAAGGCAGTTTCATTATGCTTCATTATCATATTAATTACACTGCATTACGTGCTAGAACTTTGTTGTTTAACTCTTTCATCCCACCCCAATCTAGCTCACTGAGGTCAATATTCACTGACTATATTACCCAAGAGTATGCAAGGTATTCTTATTCTAGAGCCAATGACAAAGGAAGCCAGTGGCTTCTATAAAAAGAAAATAAATGGTTCATGGCCAGTTGAAATGAAGGGCTTATCAATCATGAAAAGAAAATTCAATTAGCCTTTAAATGCCACCCATGGATAGTTTTTCACTCACCTACCTGTTACTAAAATTCAACTTTGAAAATTGTACAAGAAAGATTCCACTCAAAAGCTTATAAATCATCTACATTTTTAAAAATCAATCATCTCATACATTCCAATTTTTACTTTTAAATATCTAATAAATGTAGGAAAAGTAATTCTAGGAAATAGAACCAGAGTATTTAACTAATTTTTTTTTTTTTTTGAGTTGGAGTCTCACTCTGTCACCCAGACTGGAGTGCAGTAGCCGCTCCCGGCTATCGCAGCCTCGACCTGCTGGGCTCCGGCAATCCTTCCGCCTCAGCCTTCCGAGTAGCCGGAATTACAGGCATGCGCTACCACGCCCGGCTGATTTTTTGATTTATTGTAGAGATGAGGTCTCGCTGCCCAGGCGGGTCTCGAACCCGCGGGTTCAGGCAATCCACTCACCTCAGCCTCCCAAAGGCGCGGGATTACAGGCTGAGCCACCGAGCCCGGCTGTATTTAACTAATTTAACTTTACTTTGAAAAATATTGTGAAATAATTTAAAGGACTGAGGAAACTGTAATTGCCAGAAAATCCATGAAGAACAGGCATTGAACATTAAGAAACACAAGAGTGTGAGAACAGATTGTACTTGCAAGACATCTAAAGATTCCCATAGTATCTTGAAAGATTATTATATAGACACTCTAACTTGAAGAATCCAAAGGGGCAAAAAAATTCCACAGGCAATACCTTTATCTGCATCATAGGACCCTTGCTCGCTTCCATTTTCTACAATTCTTCCAGGAAGGGTTAATCTGCAGATTTAACACAAGAGTTCCTTAAGGCCTTAAATTGCAATATAACATAAGTGACCATCAATAACGGTATATACTTATCCACCAAAACTCCACCACCCATTTAAAAGGGAGATTAGTCAGCATTTCTTTCACATTTTAACAAACTAAATTACCTAGATTCTTTCTTTTTTAGTCTGGGAATCACTCGGTTGCTCAGGCTGGATTGTAGTGGCGTGATCGTAGCTCACTGCAGCCTCAAATTCTTGAGCTCTAGAGATCCTCCCACCTCCACCTTCCAAGTAGCCAGGACTACAGGCACACGCTACCATACCTGGCTAATCCTTTTTTTGTTTTCTACAAAGAAGAGGCCTTGCTATGTTGCCCAAGTTGGTCTTGAACTCCTGAGCTCAAGCAATCCTCCCATCTCAGTCGCCCAAAGTGCTGGGATTATAAGTGTGAGCCACCAATAACTTGGATTATTTCCCCAACTAAGAAAGTAGAAATTGGAGATAACTCATCTTTCTATTTGAATACTGCCAAGCACCAATAAAACAGATGCTGGAAAAGAAAAGTCACGATAAATATCAGTTATCGCTATTGTTATAGTACAGGTTGAGCATTCCTAATCTGAAAATCTGATAACCGATATGCTCCAAATGCTGAAACTTTTTGAGCAACAACATGACACAAGTGGGAAACTCCACACCTGACTTCATGTGACAGCTTGCAGTCAAAACTTTGTTTCATGCTCAAAATCATTAAAATATTATATAAAACTACCTTCAGGCTATATGTATAAGGTATATATGAAACATAAATGAATTTCATGCTTACACTTGGGTTCCATCCCCAATATATGCAAATATTCCAAAATTTGAAAAAATCTGAAATTTCTGTTAGGTACTCAATCTGTACTCCCCCTTTCTTTCTTTCTTTTTTTTTTTTTTTTGAGTTAGAGTCTCACTCTGTCACCCAGACTGGAGTGCAGTGGCACGCTCCCGGCCACGCTCCCACCCACTGCAGCCTCGACCTGCTGGGCTCCGGCGATCCTTCCGCCTCAGCCTTCCAAGTAGCCAGAACTACAGGCGCACGCTACCACGCCCAGCTAATTTTTGATTTATTGTAGAGCCGAGGTCTCGCCAAGTTGCCCAGGTGGGTCTCGAACCCGTAGGCTCAGGTGATCCACTCACCTCAGCCTCCCAACGCGTTGGGATTACAGGCTGAGCCACCGAGCCCGGCTACTCCCCCCTTCTTAATGAATAAGAGTTATTTATATACCTGGTGCCTGACACAGCAAGTGCCCAATAAAAGTATACTAATTGGCTTCCAAAAAAAGAAAATAGGAAACAATAAAGAAACACAAAACCAATTGCTTATATTGAGCTAATTACTATTTTAAAAAAATGCAGAAAACAAAAATGTATCTCCAATTTCATTATTATTATATGACGATTTTCCCCCTCTTAGATACTAAAGGAAATGAAGTGATTTCCCTGTCTCCAGTCTTACCCTGGTTCAATCTTCCACTGAGGCCCCAAGAGAATTTTTCTTAGACAAAAATCTGATTGTCACTTTTCTATTTGAAAAAGCTTCTATGGCTGCTTGTTGCTGCCTAGATATTTTAAACTCATCAGTAGGACATATCAGGCTCACTCCACATCACTTCAAACTTGAAATTAGAGTGTCCTTTCTTCCCATGTCCCTTCCTCTTGCTTCCTACTAAATATAATTAAAAACAAAAGTATTTGGCACACCCCAAAAGGCCCAGGGCCTGTGATCCTAATGTTTCCTCTGGCTACAATGCATTTTCAGAACCAATATCCTTCTAAGCTCAGAACAAGGTCTCAGTTTATGGAAAAAGTCTGTTTTAATGGTTATAAACTCTAGCTTTAGTGTCAGAATCTGAATCAAGTCCTAGCTCTGCCAATTACCAGTTGTGTAACTTTCTTTGGACAAGGTAACTTCAAGAATCATAGTACCAATCTGAGAGTTACAATGAGAATGAAATAATGCCAAGAGCTTAGTACTGGCACAACAGGTGAGGATTCAGAAAATATGAGCTATTTTATTCCCAACTCCCTTCTCCTAAACTCTTATAAGCATAAAGTTTAATTCTTAGTGCAGAGGAAATCCTATTTGCTTACAGATCTGGCTCCCTGGCTAGACTCTCAACTCCTCAAGGAAAGGAGACCGGGTTTTATTCATCTTTGCTATACTGTAGTGAACTGTATTTTTTGTTTGCTTGTTTTGTTTTGAGTAGGAGTCTCATGTCACCCAGGCTGAAGTGCAGTGGCATGCTCACAGCCACCGCAGCCTCAACTGCTGGGCTCAGGCTATCCCACCTCAGCCTTCCAAGTAGCTGGAAGCACAGGCGCATGCCACCATGCCTGGCTAATTTCTTGATTTATTTTAGAGATGAGGTCTCGCCAAGTTGCCCAGGTCTTGAACCCCTGGGCTCAAGCAATCCTTTCACCTCAGCCTCCCAGAGTGCTGGGATTACAGGCGTGAGCCACCATGCCAGGCTGCAAATTGTATTTTCAAAGACTGTCCATATCACATCACTCTTTTCAACCATGGTGTCTATGTCCCCTTTTCTTAAAATTCAGTGGGCTCTGGACCCGTTTAGATCAATACAATAAAGCAGAAGTGGCACTATGTGGAATTAGGGCTTCAACATGTGAATTTGAAGGAGAGAACACAAATATTCAGTCCACAGCAATGGGATAACAAATCACATGAGATAATCCACGTAAAGGACCAACCTGGAGGAAAAATTCAATAAACGTTTGCTGCCACCATAATCATCATCTTTCTATTCCTCATGTCTTCATTTAAATATCCCCTCCTCAGAAAAGCTTTTCCAGACCACTATATATAAATTTGGGCCTCTTTTTATTCTATATCAGTGCATTTCTTTCTCTTCATAGCACTTACCATAATTCGTATTTACATTGTTAGTTCATTGCTTTTCTCTCCCCATCAATTCATTGTTTTTCTCTCCCCACTAAACTACATGAGGGCAGGACTTTGTCTTGTTGGGCACAGTAACCTCAACAATGAAGCCCAATAAATAAATTAAGAGGATAAGTGAATATAGAAACCACAAGGTGCAATAAATAAAGAGGATAAGTGAATATAGAAACTATAAGTGAATATAGAAACCACAAGTGAATATAGAAACCACATATTCAAGTGGGTATGTTGGAAATATGAGTAAAACTGGTCCAGGCACAGTGACTGAACTAGCTTGACTGGAGGGGAAGGTTTGTATCACAAAAGGTAGGCTGGAGCTACACTTGAGAAAGATGAGTAGGATGGGCTTTACCTAGACAGATTGGGGAGGACAAGCTATCAGCCATATTTTAGGAAGACCAATCTGGCAGAATAATCTACAGCTCCTGTTGAATGGGGCTAATAGTGCCTATCTTCGAGAATGGCTATCAAAGTTAAGTAAGATAACGCACATAGAGCACTTAACAACCTTGTTTGGTCACCACACTAAAGGAGATCAGTGTCAGCTACTGTCATTGTTATGGTTCTGCAAGGAGAAAATTCTATAAACAGACAAGGGCTGACAGCCCCTCACCGAGACCTGGGGGAAACCACACTTAAGGAGAAAAACCAAACCAAGAGGCAGCATCCAGCAGGGAGCAGGAGAACTAGGCTAGTTTGCTGTTGGGTGGGACAAGGAAGGTGAGAATTTCAGGAAGCAAGGACCAAGCAGCCAAGAGGTGGACTGGGAAAAGTCAAAAGGACGGATCGGCTGGGGAGTCATCGAGGATGTCAGAGCGCGCAGTGCCTGGCAGGGGAGAGGCTGGGAGATCGAGTGCGGAGTGAAAGGAAAAAATAAGTCAGGAAGGGACGAGAACCAGGGCGACAGGACAGAACCTGAAAGAGGGACACTGTCCAAACGCCACGTTTTTAAGTGTTTCTGCAATCTCTTTAACGAGGGATGTGAGCAAGTTTAAGAAGGGATGGGCTTTAGCAACATCTAGAACGCACGCCTGGAAGAGGTCACTTCCTCGGGACCAAAATAAGCTGTGGAAATCTCGAGAAAAGCCGGTCGTTAAATGAAGAACTGCTCCCCCGATTTCTCACCCTCCCTCCAAACCAGTGATCTAACGCATGAATCCCCCGAATTCGCCCCCGCCTACGGCCAGGCACTGGAACTCGCCTGAGAAAGTACGGCTTGGCGTAGAACTTGAAGTCGGCCCCCTCGAAGTAGACATCGAACTCGGAGACGCGGGCGTAGGGCACGCGGATGGCGACAGTCAGGAAGTCCGCGTCCTGGCTGAGGTCGAACGCGGGGGTCAGCATCGCTGAGCAGGACGCAAGCGCCGGGGCCACTCTCTCTCACCGCCGCCGCGGTTCAGCCACTCAAACGCTTGGAGAAGTCACCACGCGCCGGGAACTGCTCTACTAGCCTCGGCGCTTCCGGTTCGAGGCGGAAGTGCTCGCGCGTAAGGCAGGAAGTCCCGCCCCACGCCATCGCCTTGGAGATGAGACGCTGTAGGGAGAGAGGAGGAGCCTTCCAGACTGCCGGGAAGGGTAAGGGCGTGGCGAATAGGTTCTTGGACCCAGGAGTAGAACTGGGGGATGACCGGGAAGAACCGGAACAGGAGTCTACCTTATACCATCAAGCCTCTTCTGGGGTTCTTAGCAGTGATTTTTAACAACACTGGCTTTGCAGGCAGACAGACGTGCGTTTGAATCCTTCCCGACCTCCACTTTCCAGCTTGTAAAACTTTGGGAAAGTTACAAAACCTCTCTCACCTCAGCCAGGTATCTGCTCTCTGCTTCAGGTATCTCTCCTATAAAATGAGGATAATACTAGAAGCTAGACCCATAGAGATGCTGTGAGGATGACATGAAATTATGCATGTAGAACTCGAACAATGGTACCTGACAAGTTGTCAACGCTCGATGTGTTGGAGCAGTCGCTGCAGTCGTCACAGCGTTACCATTACTGTAGTTTTCTTTAGTTCTCTCCTGTCTTGTCAACATTTCCCCTCTCCTCCTCTCTCTACTTCTCCTCCTCCTTTTCCTTTGCCCCGCCCTCACTTCCTTGCCCTCCTCGCCCCGCTTCTATTTTTCTGCAGCATTCTCTCCCTTTCTTAACCCCTTATTTGAGTAGAGTTTTCTCATTAACATGGAGTCCATCCATTAATCTTAACTAATCTGCACTACAAATGCCCAAGAAAACTGGGCTCAGAGAGGTTAAGCAATATGGCTTATAATCATTCATTTTACAATGATCCGAATGCAGAACGTTTAACTCAAATCGTGTCAGTGCCTGCATTTACAAATTTCAGTCCTTCTATATTCTCTCTCTTTCCTTTTTTCACTTTTCTCATTACACTTGTCCTTTCTCTTTTTTTCTTACTTCTCCTCCCTGTATTTTCTCCCTGTAGTCTGTGCTCCAAATGCTCTCCCAGTGCCTCCCTCACTAGTCTCTCTCTTCTCTTACATATTCCCTTGACCTTCCCTCTCATTTTAGTTCCTGTTATTCCACTAATAATTAGAATGGTCCAATTGTGGTATTTAATTCCTGGTTTTACATATCAGTGGTAAAGGGATGAAAGTCATCTCCTAGGACAGTGGAGATAATGAGATACTCATAAATTCAAAAGCCTTTACAGCCTTCTCTTTTTTATGATTCTAAGGAAAGAAATGGTCTTGAAACTTAATTAGGACTCAGAAAAAAGTATTAACAAGAGCTAATATTAATTGAATACTTACTATGTGACACCACTACAGCAAACCCTTTATAACTATTTTCCCCTCCTGACAGTTCTATGAAGTAGCCATTATATATTCCCTTGGCTTGCACAAGATTGCATAGCTAATAAGTGGTGCAATAGGAATTAAAACTGATTCCTAGGCCCAGGCTCTAGACTACAGAGTTGACTTTTGTTTTGTTTACTCCCTTTGTTTCACATTGAGGCCAAGCCTGCCTGCTTTAGACCAGACTGAGCCTTACAAATAATAGGCACTCAATATTGACAATGAATTGATGCCAAGCTGGAATTAGTAAAGTCCTCAAAAGGTCCCTTGAGATAGGCCTTTGACTAAATTATTCCAAATTAGCTATCTAGAAAGAATCTTTACATCTACCATGGGACCTCATTCCTGTAGGTCACAAGCATTAATATTTTTAAATTATTAATGAAGAGAATTAACAGAAACAAGCTATGCTATCCATGAGGAATCTCTAATTGAAAGCACTTTACAAACTAGAGCTGTGTATTTTCTGGATACTTTATTATATGTTTGGCAACACACACACACATACACACAATTCCAACACAGAAAAAAAAACTATATTGTTCAGTGCTGCTGTTATTTATAAGAAATATATATTGCATCTGCTCTATCACAAAATACTTATAGTTGCAACTATATAACAAGGTTGTATTGTTTTGGAGTTTTTGTTTTTGTTTTTGCAAGCAATCATTCTATTTATTTTTGCATTTCTAATTAGTGATAAATTATGCAAGTTACAAATTTATTCTCTTTTTAAAAATTGTGTAATTCCCTTTGACTGCCATGCAACTTTGAATCTCTTTCCTGTTTCCCCAAAGGGATGTTTCTAGCTATCACTGCAGACCCTTTTATATTTCTACAACTATTTCTATGTACCCTGTTACTTTATGTTTAGACCCATTTAATGTGGGTGCATTATCACACTATAAATGTAATTAGCAACGTATTTTTTCTCCCTGGGTTCATTTTTGAGACATAGCTATATTGATTAATAGTTCAAATTGAGCTCCTATTATTGAATACAGACACTGTTTGAGAATGAAGACCTTTTAACATTTCACATTAGCTCTAGTTTACAGAGGAAAAAATAGTAATGAAATTTTTCATCATTTTTTGCACATTCAAATGTTACAGAATTTTAATTTTTCCATTATACTAAGGCTTACTTTTGGATGACCTTTTACTATTTTAAAAATAGATTATTTTCGTGAACAACTTATTTAGAACAAGTATGTAACCCATCATCTGCGATTGCATTAAATTGGTCCCTCTTCTGGTCTAACAAACCTGATTATGGTCCATAATGTTCAAAATTAAATGATAAATGATAAATTAAAAATGGTTTTTTGACCGGACTCGGTGGCTCAACCTGTAATCCCAGCACTTTGGGAGGCCGAGGTGAGTGGACTGCCTGAGCCCGTGGGTTCGCGACCCACCTGGGCAACTTGGCGAGGCCTTGTCTCTACAATAAATCAAAAAAACTAGCTGGGCGTGGTAGTGTGCGCCTGTAGTTCTGGCTACTTGGAAGGCTGAGTGGAAGGATCGCTGGAGCCCAGTAGGTTGAGGCTGCAGTGGCCGGCAGCGTGCCACTGCACTCCAGCTTGGGTGACAGAGTGAGACTCCAACTCAAAAAAAAAAAAATGGTTTTTAGGCCAGATGTGGTAGCTCATGTCTGTAATCCCAGAACTTGGGAAGGCAGAGTTGAGAGGATTGCCCGATTCCAGGGGTTCGAGACCAGCCTGGGCAACTTGGTGAGACTTTGTCTCTTATAATGAATCAAAAAATTAGCGAGGCACAGTGGCACACACCTGTAGTTCCAGCTACTTGGAAGGCTGAGGTGGAAGAATCACCTGAGCCTATAGGGCGAGGCTGCAGTGGCCATGAGCGTGCCACTGCATTCCAGCCTGAGTGACAGAGTGAGACTCTGACTCAAAAAATTAAAAAAAAAAAATTAAGGCCAGGTGCGGTGGCTCAAGCCTGTAATCCCAGCACTTTGGGAAGCCGAGGTGAAAGGATTGCCTGAGTCCAGGGTTTCGAGACTAGCCTGGTGAATTTGGTAAGACCTCGTCTCTACAATAAATCAAAAAATTAGCCAGGCATGGTGGCACACACCTGTAGATCCAGCTACTTGAGAGGCTGAGGTGGAAGGATCACCTGAGCCCAGCAGGTTGAGGCTGTGGTGGCCATGAGTGTGCCACTGCACTCCAGCCTCAGCAACAGAGTGAGACTCTAATTTTAAAAATTAAAAAGTAAAATGGTTTTTATAAACAATTCCAGTTTCAGCTTTATTACCAAATTCTATTGTTAGAAAAGCCTTTTAGTGAAATACTCCTTGTTTCCAGAAGGTGGCATGCATATAGGCAATTAAGACAATGTTATCTCAAAGGACAGTCTTAACCTATGCTGGAAAATAGCTTCTTGAATAAGTTATTTATAGCTCTAATTTATTCTCCAAACCATTTTCTGGAGGTGGTGCAATCTTACACATAACTTGCAAACTGCACCTTACCCACAGGTATAATTTTGGTATACATCTTTCAGACTTCTATTCATAAAAGTGTAGGAACAGATTTTTAAACAAAAATGATGACTCTATATTTTACTTTCTTCACTTAATATAGCATTACAATATTCCCATTTGACTACATCTTTTTGTCAAAAATATGGGCTTTAACCTGGTATTGGTACAAGAACAGGCATATAGAACAATGGAACAGAATAGAGATTCCAGAAGCAAAACCTCAAATTCTCAACCAACTCATCTTCGACAAAGCCTTCACCACCAACCACTGGTGAGAGGAGAACCTATTTGGTAAGTAGTGCTGGGGAAACCGGCTGACCATATGCAAAAGATTAAAACAGGACCCTTATCTATCACCAAAAAATCAACTCTAAATGGATTACAGATCTAAACAGAAAACCTCAAACTATAAGAACCTTAGAAAATGCAGGAGACACCCTTATGGAAATTGGAAGTGGCAACCCATTCCTAATCAAAACCCCAAGTGCCCATGCCATAAGAGATAAGATAGACACGTGGGACCTCATCAAACTGACAAGCTTCTACAAAGCCAAAGAAACTATCAAGAAAGCAGGGAGATAGCCCACAGATAGGGAAAAAATATTTGCCAGCTGTATGGATGACAAAGGCCTAATATCTAGAATCTATAAGGAACTCAAACATGCTGAAAAGAAAAAAAAACAGCCCCATTACAAAGTGGGCAAAAGATATGAATAGGCACTTCTCAAGAGAAGACATATGAGCAGCCAACAGATACATGAAAAAATGCTCAGCCTCACTAGTCATCAAATAAATACAAATTATACCTACACTGAGATACTACCTAACTTCAGTCAGGATGGCCATCATCAATAACTCTAAAAACAACAGATGCTGGAGAGGATGCAGTGAAAAGGGAACACTTCTACACTGTTGATGGGAGTGTAAACTAATATACAGCCTCTGTGGAAAACAGTGTGGCAATTCCTAAAAATCGACCTTCCATATGACCCCACAATCCCCCTATTGGGAATATACCCAGAGGAACTCAAATAACTCTGTGAAACACATAAGTTTATTGCAGCATTGTTCACAGTAGCAAAAGCATGGAACCAACCATGCTGCCCATCGAAAGAGGACTGGATAAAAAATAATGTGGTACATATACATGATTGATTATTACTCAGCCATAAAGAA